GCTCACACCTTGTGGTCTACGAACTACGTGTGGTAACTATATAGACAGGATCAGTCTTATTTTTCACTTTTCCCAATATGAAAAAAAAAGAAGAATCACACCCTCTCCCACCACCATCAGCCCCCAGTTTCACTCTGTGCTTAGCAAATAACTTTGAAAGCTTTGCAGGAAGTATAATCTTTGTTGCCCAAAGGTTCCTGACAACCCCGCCATCAAAAATATATACACTGTATAAAAATAAGACACACACTCTCTCCACATGCTTTTAAGGGGGACACAAAGACATTTCCAACATAAAGGAGTAATCACAAAAGAGTTTGACTAAGACTATTTCCAGGCATTACAAAGAACACCAGGAGCATTACACATACGGAATATGTCAACGTATAAGGTATTTCTTTAAAATGCTTTCCACTTCATAAAGGTTTCTTTACATAAAGAATAGATATTTTACACAAATACAGAAGTAAAAGCCTGTGTCTGCCTTTTGTTCTGCTTTAGTTATCTCCACACCTGCCCCACCATATCTTCTGGTCTGGCACCTCTGTACCTGGTCCTGCTTTCACGTGGAAGTCCACAACTCCCACCTCGTTTTTTCAGCAATTCTAACAGAGACGTTTGGCCATTTCTCTCCGGCTTTTCTTTCTGCAGCTTTGCTTCCTCCCTCTCCCTGACCAGCCTGTACCAAGAAGCACATCATACATTAAATAAAGGTCTGCCGTGTGCTCAATTACAGCTGGCAGTGACCCCGGCCCACAGAACAGTAACCATTCCTACCCAAGGAATTAGCACATCTGCTACCTTTAAGGGAATAACGATGTAAAACTTTGCAGTACTAATGTGCACCAACAGTCCACCAATGGTAATAAAACCTAGAAAGGTTAAGAGCATAGCAGCCAAAAGCACAGCCATAATACTATCAGATAAATAAAAAAGTGGTAACTTTAGCTGCAACATATATATATATATTTGTTTAAAATAATTTTTACCTGTGCAAAAAGCTTTCTTGACCAACTGAATTTGCAGTGTCCCCCCTTTCTATTTTGTTTTATTTAAAACTGACATGCCTGTAAAGCAAGGAGATGGGAAATGAGGATTTTCTTCATTAAAAAAAAAAAAAGTCTCAGGCTTAACTACGCCTCCTTCTAGGAGTTTCTTCAGCATGATCTTATTACTCACTTGATTTAAGTAAGTACATGAAGTCATAAAATCATAGGATGGTTTAGGTTGGAAAGGACCTTAAGACCATCCATTTCCAACCCCCTGCCATGGGCAGGGACACCACACACTGTCACCCAAGACTCCATTCAACCTGGCCTTGAACACTGCCAGGGATGGAGCATTTATCACTTCTTTGGGCAACCAGCTCCAGCACCTCAGCACTTCACAGCAAAGAACTTCCTTGTATCTAATCTAAAGTGCCCTTAAGTGTGAACCCCTTACCCCTTGTCTTATCACTACAGTCCCTGATGAAGAGTTCCCCTCCAGCACCCTTCTTGGCCCCCTTCAGGTACTGGAAGGCTGCTATGAAGTCTCTACGCAGCCTTCTCTTCTCCAGGCTGAACATCCCCAACTTTCTCAGTGTGACCTTCCTGCAAAATGTATTGCAGGATAGGCAGACAAGGAGTATCCCAAGCTAGCAGATGTTTGGGAGGCTCTGTCTGTAAACTAACTGGTAAGTAGAAGGATGGTGTGAAATACCTCATTCATATTTAGTGGGGCCACTAAATCCTGTTATCTCACCACAGACTTACAACACAAACATTGCTCTTTAAAGATACTTTAGAAGACTAGTGTGAAACAACTCATGTTTAGTGGGGCCACTAAATTCCACAGACTTATAACATAAACACTGGTCTCTTTCTACAATCTAAGTTAAGCTAAAAAGTACTATAACCTCAGGTTTTCCAGGCACTAGCTTTTCTTATATCAAGGCTCCCCCCTCTTTCTTTTACCTTTACAAATTCTTTGGCTATGTGACTCCATTTTGCTCAAGAGTTCTGGCCCTTTTTAACTTGTTGTCTAATCTTGTGTCTTTAGGGAGCTTTGTTTCTGTTATTGTAAACTCATACAGTTATATCCATATAACCACACCTATGATTTGTGAAAGCCAGTACATTTATGTGTTTCTCACAAGCAGAAGCACAGCAACACACCCAGTGTACAAGACTTTCACAGCCTGCACCACTCTGTGAACGCAGACCAGAGTCTAGTGAAGATCTCTAAAACAGCAGATCTTGTATTTCTACTGTGTGCGCTGGGCACATGTCAGCAGGGCAGAAGCACAGCATCCATGCAATGCTCCACACTGACCTAAGAAGCGGTAGAGGAACACAGAGCAACCCTGTGCCACATACAGCAGTTACACCGTCTCCTGACTAAATCTGCAGTTGAGAACGCAGCGGCCAAACTGCCTGAGTACCTGGGCAGAAATGAAGGTCTCCTAAGTCCATTCAATTTATCTTCCTCCTTGCAGCCCTTCCTGTCGCCCCGGGGAAAAAAAGGTCCGCCAGCTGCAGCCCTGCTCATCTGCTCGTTGCTTACCGGAGCAGTGTGGAGAGAACACGGGGGCTGGGTCTGGGGACGGTGGGAGGTGCCAGCGGAAGGAACTAAGAGGAAAGGAGGGGGAGTTTCCACAAGACACTAACGAGAAAACCCAACAGAGAATAAGGAGCTGCCTGAAAAAACAGCGCTCATGGCACCATTTTGAACAGCGAACTCTAGATCTGGCGTTGCAGTGCCTGTGTTTCCGGGGAGGAGGATGAAGGCGCGGACGGTGCCCCCCGCCTGGGCAGCCGTAGTGGTACCGCCCAGCCCGCGGCGAGTGGTTGGGCAGTTCGAAGCGCGTGTTGCGCGCGGATTTAGGGCGGGTTGAGCGAGGTTTTCGGCTTCTCTTCCGGGGTCTGCGTGGTGGTGCCGGGGCTCGCGAGCCCTGGGGCCGGGTCCTGAGGCGGCCGGCGGCAGTACCGGCTCTGCTAGCGAGGGCCGCTTCCCGCCATTGCCCTGTGAGACGTGAGGGGTAGGAGCAAAGCTGGGCAGCGCTGCACCTCGGCAGCTCCCTCCTTACAAGCTGTTGAATCCTGGTTCAAGCTTTCGTTGTGACAGCGTGGATATAAATGCTTAGCGGTGTGCACGGGCAGGTACGTAGAAATGTGAAATGTTTGCCGTTAACGTATCGGTATGTTTCATTCGAAGATAAATGATTGTTAAAGTTTTATTTATTTATTTATTTATTTTATGCATGTAGCTGTGTTTTTACGCTGTTTTTTGAGGTTATAATTCGTCTTTGAGTCTTCTGCACTGTAGTATAATCTCTTAAGGTAAATACCTGTAAGCAACACGTGTTTTGTTACCGTTTTCAAAACGGCTGTTAAGAAAGGAATTGCTGACAGTCTGTGGTAAAGTTCTGGTTATTGTAATGTCTTTCTTTTCCTCAATGTATTCTTTATTGTCATCAAAACTTTCTTTAATGCATTCACTTAAAAAATCTAATTTAATAGGATATATTAGAGGTTTTGGATTTCCATTTCTTGTTCCCATGGATATTGTTTGTATTCGTACGTTGCAAAAGGTTGCTTTAAAATTTCAGAGTCAGCTGCATTGTCAGTGGTTCCCTAATTGTATATGCTGTATTAAATGAACAGATTTTTAATTTAAAACATTTGTCATGTTTTCTTACATGTGTTATTCAGGTGCTGTTTCTTATGACCTAAACCAGCAAAATCCTATCCCTCCCCATGCATTTTTTTTGAACCATGTTAGTGTGGATCTTACAAATACAGTTGTTTAAAGCCATATATAAAATTAGATTCCTTCTGGTTGGTTTTCCTTTTCTTTTGAGTTTTTTTTCCTAGGTGAAAGGTACATTGGTACGGAGTTGCACAACATTTTCCATAGTCCTTTGAATGTGTTATGTCTAGGCTGAAAGTTAGATTTATTTTTTTTCTTAAAATTTAGGTTTGTCTTCAATTATTAATTAAATGTGGCTGTTTGCTTGTGTCTCTTTATCGCTGCTTGAAAAACAGATTATGTTGTTGTGTTAGTAGGAGCAGGTGTGCTTCATTTAATCAGATGCATCGTTAGGTGAAGTGGTCAAAGCTGGATTCTGTTTCTGTAGCATTTTAGGACTGGCTTTATGGGCAGCCCAGCTGCTTGTTCTGTTAATTGAAACCAGCTGGGTACGCTCCTGGGTGATGTTGTGATTAGTTAAAAAGGTTCTTAAAGAGTCTTTGACCATTTTAGATTCCTGATTTAACTGCTGTATTTAGAAGCTATGCAGTGATCTGTGACTTCGAATTGGCCTACTAATTACATTTGGACTCAATGAATTCTTTGAGAAACTAATGCAACAAAGCTACATTTTTATTACAATTGCTATCTATATTGGAGGAAACTTTCTTGTTTCTTTTAGGTGAAGTCAGTAATATGTTCATTTTCACATTCTTGCTATGTAGTAGCTGCCTCTATCCACTGGAGGTGGAATCTTTCCTGTTCATGATGCTTTCAGAGTGAGCTACCGTTTTTTTTAAGGAACTTTTTTGCATTCAGAATTATTGAACAAGCGGGTTTTTTGGTCTTGTCATGTGTCTTTCTCAGTGGGCTTTCTAGGGTTTAAGTAGGAGTTACACTGATCGCGGAGTGCTGTAGTGTTAAGAGCAGAGTTTTACTGCAAGCCTAATTCTGTTTTCAAGTTGGTGGCAGAATTCCTGTCAAATTTGGTTGCTGAGGATCAAGGTTTATATGTTTGTGTTATCTTCTGTCGTAGGCAGTGTTTTGACACCTTAGAATTCTTTATGAGGGTATAAATAATTGTACTTGTTGAAGCTACCTGGGATATTTAGAAACTGTATTTAACAATTCTTCAGTTCTCTAAATTCATAAAATAATAGAGTTGACTGAAGTAGAGGGGTGGGAGAAACAATTGTCTAATGCTATATTTGGATTTCTTAATACATTGGACAAAACCTTATTTTGAATATGGATTATTTTCTCCTAGGAAATTTATTTTGTTTTATGTAGTAACATTGATTCTGAAAAATGGACAGTGACATTTGTCAAATTTATGAAGATGAAATCCAGTCACTGAAAGAGGAAATTAAACTACTGGCTGAAAAGTATGAAGATAGCCAACAGGAATCCACCTTTTTTTCTGATGAGGAGGTATTAATGTCAATGTAAGTTGGTTTTTTTTTTTTCACATGTTGGATTAATAATGTTTCTTTGTCAAAATTGTTTAGGGTAAGCTTTTGCTTCTCTTAGGACTTTCCTTCTGTTATTTTTGTAGTGCTGGTCTTGTTTAGATCATGGCCTACATATGGTAAAAGATCACAAGTAATAAATAGTTGATCTTTCTTCACTGTCTTCTGTTGGTAGTTTGTGGGGGTTTAGGGTTTTGTTTGTTTGTTTTCTGAAAGGCAATTTTAGTGGTCAGATCATGACATCAAGTACATTGCTGTGCAGGCCTTGCAAAGTTGTCTGCAAAGGCCATGTTTTCCATTATGAAACAGCTCAGTGCCAATTAAAAAAAAAAGGGTGGGAAGATGGGGATTGCAGCTGGGGAGATAGACAGGTGTGATAGACATATCATAAGAAAATGCCATGTTTGGGATTTTTATTTCCATTATTTAACAGATAGTCTGCAATAAATGTACAGTCCATATCTGAAATAAGTAATTTAGACAGTAAAGACATCACAGCTCATTTTTGTTGTACATTCCTTAAAATAGATACTTGCATCTCAAGATTTATAATAAAGGCTGTGTCTACATGATAGGACACATAAGTATTCATGAAAGTTAAAATAGTCTACTGTTCCTTGTAATGCGATCCATCTGAAATGTGATCTTGCTTAGAAAACAATCAGATCATGTTAGAAGTGCTTTTTTTTTTTTAATGGTGTTGCTGTACTGATGTGACAGAACATTTTCTTATGTCTTGGTTTTTTGCCCTTTTGATTATTTTCTTTTTTCTTTTTTTTTTTTCCCAATTCTAGAAAATCATTCCAAAGAGAACTTTGGGAAGAATATGAGGGACATGAATCTGAAGTAGACCTGAAAGCTGAACTTGAAAGTCTGGAAACACATCTCTCATTTTTAATGAAACTTACTGGTATTCAGTTCACAGGTCATTCCAAGAAAACACTGGAAAGAAGTAATCATTTTTGTGTCCTTTTCTGGTGCTATATTGAGCATACTATTTCTATTCATTACATTTGAAGATGCATGTTGTAATTCTACTTTCAATGTTAGCAGAAAGACAATTATTTTGAAAAACAGTAGAATTTTCTCTATTGACAAGTAGTTTTTGAGTAAATATAGTACTTTCCATAGTGGGGAAGTGAAAGACTGCTGTAAAGTTAGATTTGGTTTCTTTTAACATATTTAGCTTTATTTCTTTATGTGATGGATGATATCAGTTGGTACTTTAAATATCACTAATGGAAGAGATGCAATAATTGTATTGGAAATCTGATCAAATATTAACTTTGTTTTACAACAGCTAGAAACAAAATGGTGAGGAAGCACAGTTTATCAGGGAATTGCTGCTCCTTGTCTTTTCAATTGGAATTCCAGCTGCTTGAAATTCAGGTAAGGATCAATGAACACCTAAATCCCCAACAACCACCAAGCAACCAACCAGAACTTCAAATGGACTAGTGTCAATACTTCTTTTTCTATCTGAAAATGGTATTTTGTCATTTTGAATGCCTGAGTCTCCTTAACGTAAGCCTCAGTGGGTTGCTTTCACCCTGTAGCAGCTGGACCCAACTTTTGAATTCCATGTGCATTCAAACAAAATAGTTCTGAAGGTCAAGTTCAGTATTCAGTTGTGAAATCCTTACCACAGAATCTTTTAGGCTGGAAAAGACCTTTAGGATCATAGAGTCTAACCATAAACCTAACGCTGGCAAGTCCAAATCACCCTTCCTTCCCAAAACATGCACCCTGCTGGATGCTGTTGTGGTCTAACATTGAAGTAAAGCCCTGAACAGCACTGGATTTCCACTAACTCTGCCAAATACCTGCTGCTGCCTTGTCCTGACCCAGTGTGGCTTTCATCCCACAGCTGTCTCTGATCTCCCCCCAGCACATTCTGTTGTCAGGTATCTTGTTGTAGAGACGGGAAAATGTCAAACCTTACCTCTCTTGAGGAAACTGAGGAAAAGCTTAAACACTACAAACTTGAACATTTTTTTTCTTTGCTTCAGTTATATTTGTAATTTGCTTGGTTAGAGTTAGTAGCCATTGCATCACATGACTGCACAGAAGTTGCACTAAATACAGATTTTTTTGCAGGGAAGCTCTTTCATAATAATCTATTCTTAGCACAGAATTCAAAATCATGAACAGTGGAAAACAGCTGCTATCCCAATTTGTTATAATATACCCCAATTTTTAATAATATTTTTGACATCAGGAAATCCTTCTCCTGAAAACTTGGTTTTCAGCTCAGCTTTAAAGGTATTTTTTAAATTGAATGTGATTGAACTTAGTAGTATTAAAAACTACCTTCCTGTGTAAAGCTGTCCTTTCTAATCTTAAGAAAAGCCGTATTATGAATTTAGGAAATTAATATTTAAATAGTCACATGTGGATTGCATAAGATGAATGAGGTTATTTTGCAACCTCTTAAGTCCATGAATGAATTGAAACTTGTGATATTATTTTACCATGTTCTTGTATAAAACTCTATTTAGGTTTGAGCATGGAAATAGCTCACATCAATCATGTTACTTAGCTAGATTGATGTTTATATCTCACCTGTATGCTTCTGCGGAATGATGACATCTTTTACTGTCAATCTAGATCAGATGATGTAAATGTACTGGATGATGATGTAAATGTACTGGATGTAAATTCAGAGCTACGTTGGTGCTGCTTAAATCTGTTGCACCACTTGATGGCAGCACTTGTCTAGGTAATTCCTGGAACTTGCAGTATTTCAGCGCTGATGACATACGCTGGAGTTAAGAGGCTTAGAGAATACAGATCGGTAGGTCCTCTGTGGGTGCAGGAGCCTGCATCCATAGCTCTCAGTAAAGTTGTGACTTCAGGGCAGACTAAGACCTGAAAATTTAACTTTTCAATGCCTCTTTTTGTGTATAAAAATGGAGAAACCTGTTTTCTAAGATATGGCATTAATGCTTGTATTCAAAACAGCCTGTACTGAGATCAGTGTCACAAGCTAGTAGTTTCACCCATCTTAAGAAATAAAAGATGACAGCTTTTTTTTTTTTTTTTTAATGCTTGGTAGGTAACAAACACATTAGTATGCAGCAGAAGGGAAAGGATAATTCTCTAATTTGATCTTAAATCGTTAAATGTCATTCACATTAAAAGCTGTATTCCAGGATACAGTTGTACAAAGAATGGTGTGCAGATCATAGTTCACTCTGACTAGCTTTAAATGGTTGAGATTGTGTCTGTATTACTGAAGTACTGGTCCCTGACAGCCTGACATACTAAAGAACCAGCTGAGATGTACAGTTTTGGCAGAGTCAGATTAATGTGTAGTTTATATTCGCAAGAAGACTAGTGTTTTGCCAGCTTTGAGTGCAGACTAAGAAGCTCCTGTCTGCTTGTCGTTGTACATAGTTGAATGTTTACAAAGATCAAAATGTGAATGAGGAAAACAGGCTAATGCAAAAGTACTGTTTTATTTATTTTCCTCTCATACTGTCCTTAGGTGTTATGAGAGGACATATACAATTTGTTTGAAAATCTGCCAAAACATGTATAAACCTCTTGAGAAAGCAATTGTTCAAGTAAGAGTTGCTTCCTGCTCAAGTGCTTCCCTTTTGAATCTTATCATTTGACCTGCTTATTGGAAAGCCAGTTTCTTCAGAAGGTAGTGTGTTAGCCTGTGGGCTACTAGCAACTTCTCTATAACTCCATGCATGTGTTGAACTTTTTGCTCTAAATTTAAAATGATTTTTTCTGATGTTGCTTACTCAATCCACTAAACTTTGTAGTGTTTTGCTTTGCTTTGCTTTTTCCTTTTCTTAGTGATGGCAGTGTTAGCAGCATTCCTGTCCAACTGGTACTAAGGATTCATAGAATCATAGAATAGTTAGGGTTGGAAAGGACCTTCAGATTGTCTAGTTCCAACCCCCCTGCCATGGGCAGGGACACCTCACACTAAACCATCTCACCCAAGGCTTCGTCCAACCTGGTCTTGAACACTGCCAGGGATGGAGCATTCACAACCTCCCTGGGCAACCCATTCCAGTGCCTCACCACCCTAACAGGAAATAATTTTCTCCTTATATCCAACCTAAACTTCCCCTGTTTAAGTTGGAACCCATTACCCCTTGTCCTGTCACTACAGTCCCTAATGAAGAGTCCCTCCCCAGCATCCCTGTAGGTCCCCTTCAGATAACTGGAAGGCTGCTATGAGGTCTCCACTCAGCCTTCTCTTCTCCAGGCTGAACAGCCCCAACTTTCTCAGCCTATCTTCATACGGGAGGTGCTCCAGTCCCCTGATCATCCTCGTGGCCCTTCTCTGGACTTGTTCCAACAGTTCCATGTCCTTTTTATGTTGAGGACACCAGAACTGCACACAATACTTCAGGTGAGGTCTCACAAGAGCAGAGTAGAGGGACAGGATCACAGTAGAGGGAGGATCACCTCCTTTGACCTGCTGGTCACGCTCCTTTTGATGCAGCCCAGGATACGGTTGCTTTCTGGGCTGCAAGCGCACACTGAAGCTGGCTCACGTTCATTTTCTCATCAACCAGCACCCCCAAGTCCTTCTCCTCAGGGCTGCTCTGAATCTCTTCTTTGCTCAGCCTGTAGCTGTGCCTGGGATTGCTCCCACCCAGGTGTAGGACCTTGCACTTGGCATGGTTAAACTTCATGAGGTTGGCATCAGCCCAGCTCACAAATGTGTCAAGGTCCCTCTGGATGGCATTCCTTCCCTCCAGTGTATCAACTGAACCACACAGCTTGGTGTCATCGGCAAACTTGCTGAGGGTGCACTCAATCCCACTGTCCATGTTGGCAACAAAGATTGCTATATATGTTTTCATATCCTGCTTGTTTATTTAGTTTCCACTGCCATTCCCATTTGCTTGTGGTGACTGGGTATAAGAAAAATTAAGTACAATGTCTCTAGTAGAAAGTGAAGCATTTGCTATAGTCTTCAAGCCATGATTGTAAGCTTTTTCATTCACTGTTACTCTGTTGTCTTCAATAATGTATAGAAAAAATAATTAAGTTCTTTGTGGCTTCATTTCTACTATATGTCTTTTTTTAAATTTTATTTTGTTTTGGTAGGCTGTTAAATATTTAGAAACATTTTATTTTTACTGTCACTCCTATATCCTGAAGTAACAGTTATTACTGAAAAAATTGATGGAATTTGGGGCAAAACTATAGGCTTAAAAATAAAAAATAAAAGGAAAATTAACAGGTTTTTTTATTTTATTTTTTTAAACTTAGGGTGGCATTATTATGACTTTCAGATGAAACCTTGTATTTGAATTTTCTGGTATATGTGACAGGGATTTTGCTGGAACATCAGAAGAGTCTTAAAGAAGTGGAAGTGATAGGAAGTAGATGAACCTCTTTTATACCAGATATAAAGGAAGACTTTTTTTATATTTTCTCAATGCTGAGAAGTTCAGCTATTATTCCAAAACCTTGTTGCATGAATAATATTGATGCTGTTGAAATGAAAGAAATTGTCCACACATATAAGCTGTAGTTTAAAAAATGCCATTTTAAGGGTTGTATTACTTGGTAGCATTTGCATATATTTTTATTTTATGTACAAATAGATACCTTTATTTCTCCATGCTAGAGAAATTTCTAAGGTACTGTGTTGTTCCTTATCTAGAACAAAGGAAATGTGTCTGCTGCTATTACTGATCTCAGTATTATAATGGAGCCTAGGGGAAATTCAGATTTGGACAAATTTGTGTCAAGGTAAGGTGGAGGTTTGTTTTTTGTGTGGTTTTTGTTTTTTTTTTTTTTTTTTTTAGTGAAGTTATTGTATGGGATATTTGATACTAAAGGCAATACTGAGTTGTCATGTAAATTGCTGTCAGCCAATTTCTTTGTTTGATAATGTTCTGTTAGCCCAACCTAAACTCTTAGTCCTTGTCTGTATCCTTTTGGAGAGAAGCTGAAATGCATATGATTTTTAAGGCCAGAAATGACCATTACAAATGCATGTTAAATGGACAGAATTTTAGGATTATCACGTGTTTTAGCTGTTTGAAATTGTTTGGTTCAGGGAATGGTAGAAGAAGATAATCTCAGCTATCATATTTTTATTTATGAAATCAAAATGTTATTGCTTCTCAGATGTGTATGTGAGTTGTAGATGTGCAATGTGGGTGACTAATAGCTAAAAGTGTATGTCCAGAACCATTTTCCAGTACTTGCCTGTTTCGAATTCTCTGCTCAACATTCAGTTTCTTTTCTTTGCATCAGTATTTGTTTTACTGATATTTTAAAAGCAGTAAAATGTAGTTTAAAAACTTGGAGTAGTGTATTTGTGCAATGGCTTATGAAAATGTGCATCCTAAAACTCAAGCATGTGACTGCTGCTTCCTGATTGTTTTCTGGAGGTTGTTACACAGAAGGAATAATGATCAAATTATTTGCCTCCAGTATTCTACTTTGAAATCTGCTAGCAGATCTCTCCGCGAACAAATCTTTTATATCTAATTATTATTGGGTTGACTTAATCCTATTCTCTAAGTGATTTCTGTTGTTTTAAATTATTTTTAGACTTTGGGAGGGAGAAGGCAGGCAATGAATGGGTGAAAAGAAAGGTCTGTTAAGTTAGCTCAGGTTTCATTAGTCTGTGCTGAAAGCTGAGGCTTTGGAATTTCCATACAGATACACTAAAGCTGGTGGTATAATTGAGAATAGTAGTTGACTGCTTTTAAGAAGTAGGGTTTAGAAAAGGAAATTACCCTGTTTTGTTGTTTGATTTTTATTTTTTTTAATGAGCTTTTTCTGACAGCTGAAGTGTCTTGGAGCTTAATAGACATACTGGAAAGGAATGTGTTGAAGTAGTGGCAGACCTTATTTCATCCTGGCTTGAGCACTGTTCCCTTGTCCCTGTCTCTTCACTACCCTGGTCCTTTTCCACATTATGCTGGTATTAATAAGTAAACATAAGTTTTCATGAGGGATGTAAGATGAATTAAGGCTTTGCTGTCAATGAAACAATCGGTTCATTCTTTCTCCTTAGCTCTGTTAGCATGTACCATCTGCTGACCTTGTCTCAGTGGGTTGACCCTGACTACTTTTCTAAATATCTGACAGCCTTGCCCACCTTGCCCTTCCCCAGCCCCTTCAAATTCATTTTTTTTTTTTCAGTTTGTCTTGTCCTGCAAACCATGTCTGTGGCAGATCTAAGGCAGTAGATACGTAACCAGAGTGGGATTGATGTTCACAATGTCTGAGAGCAGCCCACTGTCAGATTGACTAAATCAGATTGAGTGATCTCCCTTTACAGCTTGTTTTCCCAATCCCCTTGTTAAACTAGTTATTTATTTTTTTTAAGTCCTATTCCCCGTTTTCCATGTCCAGTTTCAGGCTTTTCCCAACTTGCTCTTTATTCTTCAGTGCATCAGCTGCTCTTAGAATCTTGATTCCTACTTCTTCCTCCCCTTTCCCTCCATTCTTGCTGTGTTGTTTATTCTTTTCAGCCTCACTACCAGTCTCTCATTCCTTCCTTTGCCTCCTTGGCCTAATCTTGCCAAATCCATTGTCTAGCTCTGTTCTGTTTCCTCTGCTGGCCTGGATTTTTTTTCTCCTTGGTTTCCTAATTTTTTTTTTAAATATGTTTTTCATAATGCATGACAGAAAAAGGGTCTTTAAGAGCACCAGAGTTAAAAACTTGGCATTCAGTTGTAATTTCCAAGCCCATCAATCATGCTTTGAAAGAAAACAGAGGAATACTAGAACACTTGAGCAACATCTTTTTAAAAGAAGCAAAATTCAGTAGGCTATTTTCAACCAGGTACTGCTGCAATATATAATACTTACTTTAAAAGATACATCATTCCTTAAATATGTTGTAACAATAAAATATATATGCAAATGGAATCACATTATTTAGTCTTCTATTTTGGATTTTACTTGTGTCCCCTTTGAACCAGTTATCACTTAAGTTACTTTATTAGTGTTAAGGACCACAATATGTATGAAATTTTTTTTTCTTATTTTGTTTTTTTTGCTTGATATCTCATTAATTGTAGCGTTAGTTCGCTGCTGCATGGATTACTTAGTCAAATAGGAGTTTTCAGATGATTTCTTACATACTACTTTTTACTAACTAGTTAAAATTTAGAAGTCAGATTTAGGACAGGGCTGTGTTTAATATATATATTAAACACTGCATGGGCAAGGTATCTTGGAAATGAGAGGAAACATGAATTCTTCCCATGGCTGTAAGAGTCATTCTTTGGTTTTATATGTTAGTGCAAGAAGTCTTGCATTTAAAATAGATTTTCTCTCCTTAAATAGCTAAAGGAGCATATTGAAGGAGCCTTAAACACTTTTACAACAGTTAAATTTCTTACATAGCTTTGTGTTTTTGATATTATTTTGTAAAAGTGAAATAGTGTTTGGATGAAGGTCATGTGATTTTAACCTGATACGGGTTACTCTCTGCCTGAGTATGCTTTTTGCTGGTTTTGGATGACTTCATTATATGGATGTTGGCTTTGGAGATGGGTGGTTTTGGCTCCCAGTGGAATTTTTTTTTTCTTTATCCAGTGACATTTTGTAATGCTAATTCTTTCCAAAACAAAAAAGAGGCTTAAATTTTTAACATGCACTCTATTAGTACCTTGCTCCTTTATACCGAGTTCTCTTAGCATTTTAGTGTTTGTTGTAGTTGGCTTCAGCATTAGGAATTAGGCTAACTTAGTCTAATTATGAATTATTGTTTATGGGTACTTTAAGTGCTGTGAGCCATCTAACTGAAGTGATGCTCTTACGCAGTCTTTCCCTTGCAGATACAGAAAAGCATGTCCATGCCTGCACAAGTTTTCCTTTTTTGTAAACACTGAATCCAGTGTTCTATCTTGGATTTAGCCAACACTGTATCTGTACATGAGAGAAGTATATGCTCAGATATAATTGGAAGTCTGACTTTTACATCTGGAAGTGTTTCTTTGAACTTCTTAACCAAAATTGTGTCTTTCTGCTTGATGATCTAACCTTGAAAATTTTCATCTGCTATATTGCCTAAAGATGAATCTGAAGGGAAAGAAGAAATAAAACCAAACTAAAGGTATAATGCTAAAACAAGGTCATAAGTTTTGTGATAGTCTTTTAAATTGCATAAAAATGGATACTCGTGCCAAGTTTTTTAAAAAAGAATTTTAAGGATGTAGTTTTGTAGCAGTTGTTACCCTCTTCTAGGTATGTAGATTTTAAAAGTATATTGCAGTATGTATAGAACCACGTTCACTAGACAGTGAGATGCGGGCAGTCATTACTGAGTCTTGATTTTTTATTATAGTATGTGTAGATTTCTGTATGTATGGTTATGAGTTATGGTTAAAAAAAAGCTTTCCAGAACATAAAGCTACTCAGCTATTGCAAATCAGTGTATGTCTGCATCCTTCCAGGGGTTCAATTTTTGCCTGTGCTGCCAGCAGTTTTTTCATCTTGGCCTGATTTTGTTGGCAGCTGTGACTACTGTGGTAACTTCGTCTAATGGTGCTGTTCTTTCCAGGCTAGGATGAAACTTGTATGGCTTTTCATTTACATTTTCAGTATCTGAATGGACTTGATGTATTTTTTCCTAATTATGTTTGTGTAACATGTTAAGCATTGCCATTCTTGTATATTAAATACAGCTGGATCCAAGGCACAATTCTGCCTTGAATGGCTGAAGTGACTTCGTAATACACTGTTGGAACCATTCTGTTAATGGCCTCAAGCTTCCCTTCTCAGCTGTTCTCAAGATCCAAAAAGAATAGCTAATGTTGAACAGAAAGGATAAGTCAAAGTAGAATTCAGATCCTCTGTAACTTTCCGAAATATTCTCAAATATTTCAGAAATATTCTTCAGTCAGGTTTTGTAAGCTTGTGAAATCCTGTATTAGTAACTGAAATGAATCTTTGTATTTTCAAAGTGGTGCTTGCCAGATACGTTTTGACAATGGCTAATAGTCTGTTTCCTTTGATTGTGGCTTTACATCAACAATGGCATGAAGCTCATCACCCTTACGATTAAAGAATCACGTTGCTTCATGTATTGACACTTAGCTTTTGTGGTATTTTTGTTCTTTCCATTCTTGCCATGTTTCTTTTGTATAAACTGCACACCCTTTTCAAGCAGTTTTCCTCACTCTCCTGACCACATTGAGTGGATCATTGGCTATTTATCAGTTTAGGTCATCTTAACTTGTCACCTTTCCTTTCTCTGTCCTGATTCTTATTTTACTAGAAATTTGAAGACTAGATTTGGTGTGTTTTTCTTAAGAAACCCCTCCAAGACAAGCTCTTCTCCCCCTCGCCACAAAGCAGCCTCCTCCCAGCTATTACTGTCTCTTTCCTCTTTTGATTAGAGCTCAAAATCTGCAAATATGGTCCTAGTAGTTGCTTTCACACATGATCTAATGAACAGACCTTCTTGCTTACTGGTTTCAAGGTTCATTTTGAAAAGCTGAATGTCATGTGGGGAGGAGCCATATAACGTGTCATGTAAAGATTTAATTGAATAGGACTAAGATCTCAGGAATATTTCAAAGCTTATTGATGCAATTTTGTAAATCTTCCCAGTTGTAGGTTCAAGTTTTATTATGCAACATCTTGAAAGTTATTTGGTAAATAAGAGTATGACATGAACAAGCATAAAGTTAAATCAAGATCTTAAAAGGTAGCTGTTTTGTCAGTTTATCACGTTTGAAGCCTAACTTAATTACTGCTTACCTTTCTGAGGAGTTGAAAATATTGGCTTATAAATGAATTCAGTATTTTCAGTATCTACACTACAGTGTTTTTTCCCTGTTGTGATGATTTTTGGGGGGCAGGGGGGACAGAGGAGCCTATCTCTGGCTTCAAATTTGAACAATATTGGTCACAATTTCTGGAAGAAGTGCAAATTTTAAGCTGTAGAATGGTAACGTTGGAGTAATACTGCTTGGGTTAAAAAGTGTATTTTTCTTTTGTAGCACTGAAAAACGTGGAAGTCTTTTAACATTTTTCAGAAGTCTTTCATCTTATGCTGAGTGGTATGAACATCGCAAATGCACCTTCCTGCATTTCAAGGTAGTGTCTAGCAAGCTTTTGTGTATAGGTGTGCTGTATTTAGTTCTTTAAGTAGCTCATTGAAACCAAGCAATCGAGGTGAAATTAGTGCACTTTAGCAGAGTATGGGAATCTTAATTTTGTATGTTGTGAAGCGAAGAGTATTAGCCCTTGCTTAGTGTTTTGGTTTTTACCATGCTATTATGTTCCTCATATATGGGGGAAAATAAGAGTATCTGTGCCTTTCTGTTGGGAAGTAAGGTAGGTTTTCATTGGTATTACATTTGATTTTGACGAAAATAAAGGCAAAAGAGGAAATTAAAAGAAAATAACATTTGTAGTCTTTGGCACTGACATCTTCCGAAGGACTGGATCTGTCTCTTGAAAATGTGGCAGCATGAGTTTGGGCGAAGTGTTTTACTTGAATGTGAAATAAACTGTTCCTCACTCTTAAATGGAACATAGTATATGAACTTTGTTTTAAATTGCCATTTAAATTGCCATAATTTGGCTTGTTTGTTTTACCTTTGTACCTATTTTAAGATAATTAATCTTTAGAGTAAAAATACTGTAGTCTGGCAGACACAGAGCATCTTAATGTGATGCTTAATGTTAGAGGAGGCTGTTTAGTGCTTAATTATGTATGGGTTTTTTTAATTCAGTTTTATTTAGCTCCAGCATTTACTGCCATTAAAGAGCATTAAGAGCACCCTCTTTTCAGCTGCAGCAGGAAGTGGGAACTGCTTTGTGTCCTACTTTTTGAATCTCTGAGGACTTTCTGAGTTCTGTGCTACATTGATTTCTAGCATCAAATCAATCAGATTAAAGAAAAAAGTACTGAATTCTGATGTTAAAAAAAAAAAAAGTTAAAAAAGAATCCTGTCCTCAGCTGAGTAACAAAGTGATGTTGTCTAATCCTGCTGGTTCTTGTACAAGGACTTCTATTTAATCCCTACATAGACAAGGGATTTATGGTTTTGTGTTGTTGGTTTCTTGTTTGTTTCTTTTCCCAGCTTCACTTGATGCTTTCTGATGCTTGGATGAGCCTAATAACAGCAGTCACTGTGCTTTCTGGGACAGTGATTCCGTGAACTGGTTTCTTTTTAAAATTTAGTACAAAAATAAAAAACAAAAGGGAAATAGGTCTGGAGATTACTTTTTAAATTGTGTGTATCTTAAGCAGTTTTTGAAGTATTTGTTCAGACATGGAGTGTAAACAATGAAGGGGTATATTCATTGCTAGAATATGTGTGAAGATAAATTCGTGAAGATGTATTGCAAGTTTGTCAGTATTACAAATATTCTGTCTAAACGTATTTTTCTTTCTGTGGACAAAGATACTGTTGAGAAAGGGAAACCAATTTGGGAGAATATTTATCAAGTATGGTTGACTTTATGCTTATGAGGAGTCTTTAAGCTTTCTTATTTCTGCTAGCATTAGTAATGATTTCATTCAGAATTAAAGGGTTTAGAGATTGAATCTGACAATTCAAATACCAGATTGCTAAGGAGAATGTGTATTTGTAACTTAATATTCTGTAGTAATTTATTTGAAATAACTAGAAATACGCCTTTAACATACATATAAAAATAACTGAAGAGTCTTACCCTAGTAATATTCATACTTGAACAATATTAAATATTTAGTCTGTAACCTTGGTATTTATTTCTTTTTCCTACATGCTTGCTAGACTACAAGTGTAGAGGCAGGCAACCGTGCACAGTATTAGAGAGACTATTTGGGATGGGATTTGGGGATTTATATTTTTCTCTCCATTTGTTATTTGAAAGAAAATTATCTAGACTGTTAAGTAGAAATAGTGCTTCTAATAGTATTCTAGTGGAATCTATTAGTTACAGTGTACTGTAAAACCAGGAAAGGTAGATTATTTTTTTTCTTTTAGTTTGGTACTTGAGAAGAAAGGAATAACGTAGAAGTGATTGAATACTTCAAATAATAATGAATGTGATGAATGACAATTGCAAGTTTAAGGCAAAGTTGGGTACCACTGTATTTCTGAAAGGTTGATTGTCACAAATAGCAGATTTGTAGTGAGATTTTTCTCAGTTATCAAGTGTGATGGCAAAATGCATAACTTGGATTAAGCAAAATACAATTTGAAATACTCATTGATTTGACTGTGAGCAGACTTTTCTAGAAAACAGGGGTAGATTTAGGTTGGTGTGAGTAGAGTTCAGTGGTAAGCGTTTTGTGCTCTGCGTTATATGCTCCCTGACATTGTGCTTCAGCAGTTGTGGGTTTTTTACTGAAATAGGTTAGTCTACAACTTGAATGCTTCACGCACACACAAGGATTGAGCATACAGTTACTAATCTCTGCTGCTGCTCCTTTATTCTACTGAGCAATTCCACAAGGTAGTGCCTTAAATAGATTTTTGAAGGAATGAGTGACGTGTCCCACAAGTTTTCTGTATGGCATTACTTGTATGGCAGGTCTTATGATATTGCCACAGTAAATACTGTGTCTGTAAAATGGATTCATGTCTGCAAATAATTTTCTGATCTGAACATGCTTTAAGTCTGCTATGAGGGTGAACTACTTAGCATGTTGGCATTGCTGGAAAAGCAGATTGTTGAAACTGATATTGATAAACAAGAAAAAAATTCAAGTTTTATTGGAAATACTTAACAGAAATGAGAGGAAAAAACCAGAATGGTGTACATTCAGCTTGATATTAGTACTGGTCACACAAACAGAAGGTAAAAACTCCTGCATACTGAAGCCCTTCTCACTTAATGGTTTGAGTTAACTTGCTATGAGTAGGAAAAGTAAATTAAAACATAGGAGATAAGTTATTGCCTGCAAGAGGCATAGCAGTTGTCTGCTTTGGTTTGCTCACAAAATATTAAGAGCTTTCATTAGTGTTGCTATTGATACTTGGTAATTAAAAAATAAATCTACAACATTTTAATGCAAAATTAATAATGTGGTAGTGGTTAGGTCTTAGAACGTTTACATGTGTGTACATATTGCGTAAATGTGTCTATATTTGTGTATACACATAATTGTTTTCATAGGAAAAGTTTTGATGGTATTTACTGATCCTGATAATGCTGGAAAGAGCTTTACTTAGTAGATAAGATCTGTGATGAGGAGAAGGTCAAGGGCCATTGCTTATGTATTGAACTTCTCACTGTGTTTTTATCTTAGGCATTTATCAAAAGAGGGATGGGAGAATAGGTGGCTTGCTTTTTTCTAGTATAAAATATGCTTGAAGTTGGAATGTATTTTTACCTGCTTTAGGGTTATATTTTTTTACCTTTTGCTAAATACCTGCAAACATTAAATTTTTCTGAGGTAAAATTGAAAACAAAGTAGTATTCTCACTGTCACACTTGGTTGTGTTCTCAGTTATATTAAGACAATGGAATTTCTTGTTATATCAAATAACTTAAAATGGAAAATATTGCATTGTTTTGTCTGTCTTGGGTGATGGCCTCAGGGCAAAAATATTTTTGCCCTGCATTTCATAATTGCATTCCCTTACCAGAAAGATGAGCCCACAGTTGATGCTTGACGTAGTTACTTAAAAAGTGACTGAAAGCCACTTAGGTATCAACACTCTTAGTGGCAGAGTATCTGTTCAGTATTAAGTGTGCATTTAATTCCCCATAGCACAAGCACTAACAAATCAAGGGTTAGCTAAGCAAGATAAACATAACTAATAAAAAAAATCTTGTGAAATTATTATTCTAGATTAGCTGTATATCATCATGCATTTGATGCTTAACTATTTCTACAGATTAGGAATCTATACTAGCTTCAAAATCAGTATGAAGTTGATGTGGTAATAGTAACTATCACATTGCTGCTTTTCTTTGTCTGAAGAGTTTACGCATATGGTAAGTATTTGAGGGGAGAAGGTGAAAATGAATGTCAAATGTGTAATTGTGTAATTAGAAGCATTGTATCCTCTATCAAGTATGTCCTGTTTCAGGTGAACTGAATGTTGAGGCCTGCACACACTGGTTTGCATTTTTAATACACTGTATGGTTTAGAGTGAAACAATGCTTGAAGTTAACATTATTTTTAGATTAAAAATAGAAAGAACTTTTAAATTTAAAGATCTGATTTGATTTTTTTTTTCCTAAAGAGCAAATATATAGCTATACAAGGGTAGTTCTGTTTCTTTGCACTGGCATCTAGCTGAGATTTTACTTATTTACAGGTAATATTGAACATTAATTCAGCGTTGCTGTTAATTATATTGTCACATTTTCTTGTCAAGGAAAAGCAGGAGAACAAAGCTTGGTCTGCATCATCTGTTAATTAGAAAGATACTTGGAGTCATACTGTGCTGTGCTTTGACTATTTTGTATTAAAATGGGAAGCTGGTGTTGCAAAAATGACTTGTGAGTACAGCTGAGCAAAAATTATATATTTCAATTAAAAATATCTTGTGTGTAAAAATATAATGTATATATGTGCACACGCAGGTTGTTTTGAAAGCAAAACAAAAGGACATTTAACACATCTTTGTAAAGTTCCACTTGCTATGTTGCTTGGCGCACTAAGCCTAATTGGGAATTATTTTAATTTTCCACAAATCAAGTTTTTAAGGAACTTTTAATGAAGTTCAGCTTGAAGTTCTGTTTTTAAACATAACTTCCTTTACTATGCAACTTCATCCAATACGCTTCTGAAGGTCAACTGAAAAGCTTAATTTCAGATTTTAAAAAGTAGTGTTGGAATTAAGTTGTGATTTCTTCTGTGGCTTGCTCAGTGTCTGGCATTCATCTGAAAATGAAATGAGCTGTAGTAATTGCTCAGAGTGGTGGTAAAGAATGTGACCAACCAATTACTTGTGTGAATTTTACCTCCACATAAAGAATATGTGGTGAAATGAAAATAGAGAAGGTATGTGTGTGCATATATGTGTTTTTAATAGAAGAGATTCTGAAAGCACGAGTGACATTGTAACTAGAAAATAAAGTGACTGTTTTGAAATAGTTCTTTAAGAGAAGAACTGTGTTTCAACATAGTAAAAGGTTCTGGGAAAAT